TCGCTTCCAAGGGACGCCCTAGCACTTACACAATGATCAAAAGGATTCATGTCATGATTTTTTCGACAAGTTTTACGCTGGCTGTCGACTACCTAACGCAACCCTTCACTTTTCGCATCCGTGCTTGGAACCGGCAACAGCAGTGTTAGAAACTTATCAAGCATATCTCACCTAAATTATGAAAGGAAATAATTCTGAATAAAAAACAGAAAAACATAAAATATGAAAGAAATAAACTAAATAAAAGATTTCATAAAATATCCCAATCAAATCCACCAAAATTCATGCACTGACAGTTTACTCCAACTGCTAACAGATTAAATAAATGGATATCCAAGCAAATTTTGATATAATTTTTATGCCTTCCTGCATATCAAATTGGCTGTAAGGAAAAATTGTAAGCTCAAAACTGAAACTTAATAGTAGGGACACAGGCGTGAATCATGATAATGATGATTTGAAAGGACTGGAAGCATTCATACCAAAATCTTTAAAACTAAGGTTTTGAAAACGAGATAAGACAATGTGGAATTACTTGGGGAGGGAAAATTGCTCTATTCATTAAACACAAATAGGGTAGATATATATAGAGAAATCAATCCCTCCTCATTTAGAAACTTATCAAACATATCTCACCTAAATTAGGAAAGGAAATAATTCTGAATAAAAAATAGAAAAACATAAAATATGAAGGAAATAAACTAAATAAAAGATTTCATAAAATATCCCAATCAAATCCACCAAAATTTGGTGGAGGCCAGTCCACATGAGAGAGGCAAATATGGAAAGAACCAAATCTCAGATTTTCACACTTCCTCTAAAGTTGGGTCGTAGATGCTGTAGAGACCGAACATGATATTGAATTCTGAGAAAGTGTTGAAAGGAAAAGAGCTTGGTCGTATTTTAATACTACCAATCACATTCCCCTACACCACCTTGGTGTGTCACTAGGATTGTGTGTCGCTCTGCATTACTTCCAAGGAGTTTTTTCAGTACTTCAAACTGCTCCTTGGTGAACGGTTCAGCCAACCTTTTGAATGTAGATTAGTCTTTTTCTCTTGATCTTTCCTTGTCCAAGTTTCTGTTTTACAGGTTTTCAATGAAATTTTCAACACTTGTCTTTGATATGTCCAATCTTCTCGCATAGTTAAATATGTGTAATGATTCTTCTTATGCCTTGAGTTATGGGAGATATTATGAGAACATAGGGCCGAGCTTTTAGTACTTGGTGAACCCCATTTTCAGTCAACATACAACTTCTTTCTGCTCTCTTCTCTCCTGACTCCGGCAAGGGCTTCACGGACAGATGGAAGGGGTTTTGTTCCATAATCCTCCCACCATCTCATCTAATTTTTGAGTTAGTCCTACTAGAAACTTGACGGTTCTCTTCTTCTAGATAATGAATCTAAACATCACAACATCATGTGAACATTCCACACATGTATCATAAACAAATCCAATTGTAACCAAATTTTTTTTCAAGGTGCTGGAGAATTGAATGACACTTAGCTCTCCTTGATGAAGGTCATGAAGCTTGATTTAGACCTCAAACAACTCTACAACGTTTTCAGTGTTGGAATATGTTTCTTTTATGACTTCCAATTCTTTAACAAATTTTTATAGCAAAAAATCTTGTCCAACTTTAGTTGACATTGAGTTTAGCCAAGACATAACCATATGATCTAGTTTCTTCCATGTGCGGTGGTTGGCATCAGTGATCTTAGGAACTGTGTCTTCTCCTGTGAGATGTTCATATTTTCCTTTACCACAAATATACATAAACAAGGATTGAAACCATTAGCGATAGTTATGGTCATTGAGTTCATGATTTGTGATAAAGTAAAAGAATTCAAGATTCATCTGAATAGAATCCTTGGCCTATAATTCAATGTTAACCTCCAAAGTAGAACTTGAAGTTTTCATCCCATACATGGTTATCAAACCCAAGAGTATTTAGGGCCTACTTCTAATTGATTGTGGTTGTCTTTGACTACAGTTTCTGCAGGTAGGTGGAAGCCAACTTTAGAAAAGGTTATGTTGCAGCTAATGCTAGAGGGAAGCCTGTAAGAATTAAATGGCGTGCAAGAAAAGTTGCAGGGTTCAACCTACAAGAAAAAAGGAAAAAATAGCAGTAGGAAAGAACCAAGAAAAGACCTACAATAGGGAGAAACTCGGCAGAGTGCTTACAACAAGAAGACTGGTTGCAGAGAGAATTTTGAATCAGCTTACAGCAAATAGAATTTATGTTGTATGGAAGAGCTATGAAAGGGCCTGCAGTGAAAAAAATTTGTTGAGGGAGTTCAGGTTGGTTGCAGGGAATAGTTCTTGGTGGAAGTGGGTCCATGCCAGGAAGATTACGACAGTAGAAATTTAACTGAGTTCTTGCAGGGAGAAATCTGGTGCTCGTAAGAAGAGGAGCTTTGGAGGAGGGCCTACAGATCGGCTGAAAAGATTACGATGGAAAAGGGCCAATAATAGGAGGATTCCGACTGCAGGGATAGTTTCAGCAACAAAAGTGAATAGAGGGCCTGCAGGGAGCTTTGCAGTCTGCAGAGAGTATGCAGTTGTTGAAGGCTAAAGGGAGAAGATTCGAAAGAGGGCCTGTCGTAGGGAAAAGCTGTGGCGGGGGGCCTGCTACAAAAAAACTCAGGCGGAAGGCATGTTATAGGAAAATTCTGAAGTTACTAATGTTTTTGGTTGAGGTTTCTGTTGCTGGGAGGGGAGGACCTATTAATGAAGCTGTTGTTGCTACTGGACGAATGTAGGGAGAGAATCAACTAAGAGCCCACAACAGGAAAAGATATGGACAACATAAAGAGATTTCGTTGTTGTTGCTGAGACCTAGGAGGCTTTCAACGAAAGAGATTTCGTTCGTTGTTGTTGCTGAGACCTAGGAGGCTTTCAACAGAGAAGCAGGGAGAATTTTAATTGAAGAAACTTTATTATTTGATGTTGCTGCTGAAGAGATGTTAGAAGGCTTCCAACAGAGATGTTGTCCTGGAAGAAGATTCAGGCCTAAACAGAGGAGTTTCATAACAAGGAGGAGCTTTTCCTGGCTGCAGGATGGGGGGATTTTCTAGGTTGTCGAGAGAGCAGGTGAAGTATCGACTACAGAGTAAGGCATGTAGGGAAGTACCAGTTGGAATTTCAACGGAGGCCTGCAGAGGAGTATGTTGCTGGGCAGAGAAGTTCCTGTGGAGGCCGGCAAGGGAGTATGTCGCTAAGCAGAGATAGGTCTATAGTCGAGAATTGAGATGGAAGAAAGGAGTCCAAGCAAAAAAGGAATGCAAGGAAGTTTGCAGTGAGAGCTCCAGCCAGAGGAGGGCAAATCCGGCCTGGCAGAAGAAAGTTTAGTTGCAGGAAGGATGTCTAGCGTCTAGGGTAAAGAACTTGGCTCTAATACCATGTATAATTATCTGAGGAAAACAATTGCTCTATTCATTAATCACAAAATAAGGTACAAATCTATAGATATATCAATCCCTCCTTATTTAGGAACTTACCAAAGATATCTTACCTAAATTAGAAAAGGAAATAATTCAGCATAAAAAATACAAAAACATAAAATAAAAAGGGGATAAACTAAATCAAAGGTTTCCTAAGATATCTCAATCAAATCCTCATAGATTTGGAGGTGGAGGCCAGCCCACATGAGAGAGGTAAATATGGAAAAAAACCAAATCTTCTCAAATTTCCATAGACATTGAGCTGGAAGTAGAGGTTTAAGGTTCAAAGGCTCATTAGAGGTTGAGCAAGAGGTTAAACTTGCAGATATAAAATATAGCAAAATTCTTTTCATGTAATTTAAAGAATTTAATAACAATACAATAATAATATTTTAACCAACTCAATGTACAACTTTTAAATCAAAACGTTTCACTAGTACATATTTTGAATGTAATTCTAAATCAAGTTTTTTGAACATGATATTTTGATTATTTTCTCAATAAAGATTAGATATTTATACAAATACTTACAAAAATATTTAGAGTATTGCAACTAGATTGAAAATTAAGTAACAACTAAAATTAAAAACAATCAGCAATCTCTTCCCAAATTTTTAATACATACAACTTCAAATCAAAGAATATGATTTAAGTAGATTTTAAGCTCATCATTTGATCAAAATAAAAATTAAAAAAAAAACATTATTTAAGCAGTATTAGAATTGGATGATTCATAAAAAATATGAGAGAGCAACATAAGATATTAAAGGCCCGTAACTATATGAGAGAAAAAGTTAAAATTACTTAATTCACATGAATTTGAGAGCAAGGAGGAGACACAAATGATGTCAGACAACTAATAAGATATTAATTTTCATGATTATTCTACGGAAGTTTGAACTATAATCCAATTTTTTAATAAAAAATAAAGTTTAGGTCTATGTCGAACATAAGCAAATCACAATTATGTATTATCCATGCTTAAACTCGCAAACTTTGAGTAGGAATTAAAACTTCAAGAGAAATATAAGGAATTAGAGAGAAAGTATGCATTTTCTTTCGATACAGAGGTCTAAATAAGAAGAAAAGAAAAGGTGAGAAAAAGTTCCTCTATATGAAGGCTTTTGTTCCTAATCCAAAACAACTAGAAAATGATGAGAAAAGAATTTGCAGAATATTTTAATAATGCACAAACTATTCTAGCATTGGCATGTCCATAATAAAATTGGCGTTCGACTGCTTCTAACCATCGAATCAAAAGGGTCAAAATTTATGCTCTCAAATCCCCATATTATAGTAGTTGAATAAGCAATAATCCTTCCATCTTCTACACTGCATTGCACCAAGATTTTTCCATGCTTAATAAAAAATATTTTATCAAAAATAATCTTAGAATTCCAAAAAAAACTTTAATCATCTGCTTCTGAAACAAATTTTGATCAAAAGCATGTGATTAAATTTTTGACACCAATCTGATGAACAAAATCAAATCTCCCATGACATAAATCCTGAAACTTTGATTACTATAATTTGCCTATTGCTTTGAAGCGCGCGATGGTTCAACCTAGATATTGACAATGATGTGCATAGGTCCGCCACCCTCCAGCTCACTAAAGGACCGATAATTAGGAGCATTTGGTCCAACACAAAGAGCATAGATTAGTTGATATAAACATCCACCATTTGTTGAAACCAAAGTACGAAAATTCTCTTCATCAAAGTGCTTATAAATACCCCACAAAGGGGGGAGATATAAGGTTCTACTTCTATCACATTATTTGAAAGATGCTCCATTGAGTAGAGCTTTTAATAGTTATTTTTCTTGCCTTCAAGCCCACTAAATAACCTGGTCATTGACTTAGGAAACCAATACCCTGAGTATGCACATCCCTTTTTTATTGTATTGATGGCAATTTAAACTATACTTTCATTTGATAATAGATGAAAAATCTTTTGCTTCTTAAATTCGCATATATATTTAAATTTTCTCTCTGGCCATATCTTTTATCATATTCACTCAACCCTTAATTAGTGTAACTCAACCAAAAGAAGAGGATCGTAGTCAATAGCTACTACTCCATTCCATAAAAAATCTAATACTCTAACAATTGGATACCGGGCTGTTTTTTTCAGGGGAAGCAAAACGTACTGTAAAAATAAATTGATGCATCAAAACCGAACTTCACAATGAGTCAACTACCGGGAGGGAACATTTAATCACTCTGAATTTCATTATAAGCTCATCCCTCAAGGTTTTTAAACTTTATTGTGTATGGTTTTGTAAGCACTCTATTATTCAAATTTCTCAAATGCACGTCTCATGCAACAAAAGGGGACTGAATGCCTGTGATCCATGACCGTGGTATTTAGAGAGAATCCGTATTCATACATACGCCATCACATATGTATAAACTATGCCGTATAATATCAGGTATAGCCCAAGACGACCTAACATTTTCAAGAAAACCCTAAGAAAGGATGATTAGAAAAAATATACGAAACCACCCATACCAGAGATAACTGCAACCTTGTCATATGTGGATCCTAAGACATCAGCACGCAAAACAACCTTAATCTGCAATACAGAACACCGCAGATTCTTTAAGGCTCAATAATTTAAATTAAAAAAAAAACAATGACAAGAAACGAAAAAGATACTAGCATTTGGGAAGCCATCCAGGTACTGCAGGTGAGGATAAGTCTCCACCATGCCCTCAATGCACTCGGTCACGACGTCTGCATTTCCAAAAGCAAAATCCGAACGAATTTAGAGAGCCAAAATCGGTAAGTTAATCGAGAATTCGAAATACGTTGTTCATGCAAAGAAACAAATACATTTGACCAACAGAACTAGTGACGCGCCAAAATAAAAATCTCAAAACAGTATCAGACAATTAAATGACAATAAGAAATTCAGATTTCCATAAGAGAGGACCTCCGCTATTAAATACAAGAATAGCGACATACGCCCAGTTAGCCCGTCAAAGAGTAAGAAGAAAACAAATAGGAGCAAGAAATAGCAAAATGAAAGAAGAGAACCATTGGGATCGTTGATCAGCTTCTTCGATTGATAAGACATCGTATCACACGCCACCGATTCCCAGAAAATCTCACTCCGATCAGGCGAAAAGTCCGAGCATTACACCGTGAAGATCACAGAACTCAAAACCTCTCTTCTCCAACATAGAGAAACCCTAGCAGGGAGAGGGGAGTGACGAGAACGAGAGTGAGACGGAGAGTGGAGGACAAAGGAGCGTAGAGGTAGTTTTAATTCGACAGTTATTGCTCCGCCAGTGCTTCTCACTTCTATTTAAACACCCTTTTCATCACCCAATTTCATTCTTCAATTTGTTGTCAAGCCTTCGCGGTGCTTCCGGTCGAGCTTCTCCGGGATGCGAATTGACGATAAACACCTCAATGGTTTGCGACCGGGGAAAGAGGGGCTTCTTTGTAATTATGGCTACATCGATGGTTTAATTGCCCCGCCCATGGTTTTGCGCTTTACGAAATAGTGGATTTGAGTGGACTTACGAAGGTATATTTGCTGCAGTTGCAAACAGCAGACTATTGGCGCGGAAAATCGTGGCCGTCCATCATGCTAAATTTCAGTGGGACCTGCATATGAATGGCATTTGAGGAATGGCCTTATCCTGTTTTACGGGTGGGGCCTATAAGAATTTAAATACAAATTTAGGAATAATTTATATGTTTATATGAATTTTGTTAAATATATAAGAAAAAAAATGAAAAGTAGAGTTACAAATTTTCTTGCATAATATATAAGAAAAAAAATGAAAAGTAGAGTTACAAATTTTCTTGCATTTATATGAAGAAATACATTTATAACTTAACATAATCTTAGGGTCTGTTTGGGACAGCTGTTGATTATTTATAAGCAGATTATTATGATAATGTGATAATCTACAGATTATTAGAATAATCTAATTTGTTGTTTGTGGCAGCTTATTCATAATAGTTTATTGGTGATTATAGTGGTATAAATGACATTTCTATCCCTATCTGGTAAAACTGTTTGGTGCAGCTTATTCATAACAGTTTATTGGTAGTACATAAGCATATAGTGCAGAAGCATAGAATCATCACAGATCATTTCTAAAAGATGACATAGAATTTCTCACACTCTCGTGAGTACCAGAAGAAATAAAAAAAAGATAAAGACAAGTACAACTATAATGAGAAATATTAAAATATTTCATTTCAAACTCTGGCTACGTTTGTCCTCAGCTTCATTATCAACATGGGAAAACATCGGATTCCCATGACTGCTGACAGTGTAATATGTGAGACTGTCAGTCCACCAGAAGAAGTCGCAACGAGCTGAAACACTCTTGGCCCAACCATAGAACTATCTCCCAAAGCTATAAGACTGAAGCGACATGAGCAACGAAGTTGTTAGTCCACAATAACACAAAATACTTCTGTCTGTAACTGATATCCTAAAAGTCGTGTTTGTATAACTGCAAAAAAAACTAAAAAAAATGAATATCAATACTTATCGCAAAAAAATAAAATACACATAAAAATTGATCTACGTATATACGAAGAAAAGAAAGACTTGTTGGATTATCTGCCATATATAACATCTACTATAGACTCCCTGAGAGCAGTCATGTCAGTCATACCCTCCGCGTCATGAACTACAAATTCACTAATTTCATTCTCATTCTCAGGAACGGAAGGCCCGATCATGATTTCTGATGGTTCTTCATAGACCGTCAGCTCTTCGTTATCAGCCATACTAAAGTCCGTATCTGAACGTGAAGGGTGTCGTTGTATGAAGTTATGAAGTGTCATTGTTCCCACCACAATATGCATCTGCTTCTGAAATGGATATGACGGTATATCACGTAAGATGACCCATTTCTTCATGCACACTCCAAACGTTCTTTAAATTACCCCACGTAAAGAGGAGTGGCGTTTGCTAAACATTTTTTTCCTACCACGAATAGTGTCACTTGCTCGCTCAAAATCAGGAATATGATACCTAGCGTCAGGATATGACTTAAGATAGCCCCTCTACATAGGGTATCCAACATCAACCAAATAGTATTTTTCTGTTATGGAAATTATTGTTGTTTGCAATAAATACCTATAACTTGAAAATTTTAAACTTCAAAACATACATGAAGGCGGATGAGGAAAACCCTATGATCTATTCCTTGTAGCATTGGTAAACATTTGACTATCATGTGCACTCCCTTCCCAGCCCACCATAACATCTGTGAAACACATGTTGAAGTCGCATACCGCTATGACATTTTAAGTAGTCGAACCACTTCGACCAATGTAAGCCACCTTGTCTTGGCTGAGTATTCGAGCATCAACGTGAGTATCGTCAATTGCACCTATGGCACCTATGCAGTAATTGCACCTATGCAGTTTGTTTTACAGGTAGAAAATATTTATATGTTGTTATGAAAGTAAATAAAAGAATGGTTACCTTAAAGTAAGGCATATAACGGAGATCGACCGTGATTTGTCCTGGAGTATTACAAATGATGGATCCTCTAGCCTTTTAGAGGATAAGCTAACAAGTGTTTGTATGCCTTTGGAAAAATAACGACTTATCGTCTCCAATGAATGCTGAAATCCTTCATAACACCCCTAATTGATTCATTCTGTAACAGAATATATAGTGTTATAGTCAATACCTCCCTTCTCGTCGCTCTCGAAGAACCTTGTAGTCCGTGATTGAGGTATAACTCGTGCAAGAGATTCATAAAGATCGGTACTGTCATTTGAAATATGTTACTGAACCTAATAGGATGTCAAAAAAGCATTTCACCAGCCCATATATCCCCGACAAAGCTGTAGGTCATTCGGGGTATACGAACACTGCTTGATCGGTAATACTCCAACACTAATATGACAATAGCTGCAGCTTATGTCATTCTCTTATGACATTCATGTTGTGGATCCATCCTAAAGAAAGAAATATCTCAGTTATTTCATCAATTATTAATCAATACAGCGAGCGAGAAATAAATAATAAGAACACTCAGCTAGTAAGAATAAAAAAAAAGTAGAGCTCTACTAATATGCATTCAAGAATCAAGTAAAAAGTACATTTAAAAAAAACAACTTCAAATAACAGATGAGTTCATAACGTCGAATAGTGCATAATACATTGCTTGAAAACTTGAAGAGTAGAAAATACAATTCTTGAAAACACATAAGAACTCAATCATTTACAATAACATGTAAATATTCGACTCGCAACTCTGGTTCTATCGCCATAAATATGTGCCTACGTGTGGATCATCAATACAGCGAGCTTATCCACTACAATTTCAGGGATGATTTTCAAAGTGCGAAGACAATCGAAGATATATCTGTCAGGTATTGGAGCAGGTTGTTGTGCTCCAAAAGCATTTATGAGTCTTTCAAATGAAGTTTTTACAAAAGTATCATTTTCTTTCTTTCTTCTTCCTAGTCACTTCTTCCTAGCCTGGGCCTCTTCATCTATGAGCTTGTACAAAAGTATCATTTTCTTTCTTTCTTCTTCCTAGTCTGGGCCTCTTCATCTATGAGCTTGATTCCCCCATCTCCCTCTGGTTAACGCTATGTATTTCTTCTTCAACTGCCACCGGCTCTGGTGGAAAATCATCGGGTATTCCTGCTAACCCCGTCTCACAAGGGTTAAATGCAAGCTTTCTCGTTGCCACAACCCCCTTGAATATTATGTCAAGTTTATCTTCAAGATATGGGTCAATTCCGCTCTACTTGTATTTTTTTATTGTCGGAATTGCCAAAAACATTACAATGAGAAAGGGGGTTTAGGGGGATAATTGTTTAAAATGAAAATATTTGTAAGTAAAAAAAATAATGACAATTTTACCTCTAATTTTCCGGCTGACCATTCATCTGGTACATCAATTGTCCGTTTGATTGGATCCCAGCTCAAACCCGTGGATCCACGTTTCAGCTCTTTCCAAATTTTCCACTCCATCTTCAATTGCTCACATTTATTTTTAAATTTCAGCCTGTCATACTCCCTTTCAGTCAATTCTTTAAATCTTTTAGCTATGTTCTGCCAACCTTCCTTGTTGAAATAGGTAGTTGGCCTATTCCCGATCTCAATTTGGGTGTTGCAGAGGTTACAGAAAATAATTGTAATTTTCTTATCCCACATCCTTGAGGGACCATCTTCAATTGTCTTAGACATTATGGTACTATATGAAGAATACATATTGTGTAAAGAAATTCATTTTGTAAGTAAACATGCATATGAAAATTATCCAAATGTACGAACAAGAGAAAAAACACAGATATCTTAAAAAAAGTAAACCTACATCCACAAAATGAGCTTACATCCACAACAGATCCAACTGAAGTAACATGTAAATCTCACAGAAGAAAAATAAAAAAATTGCTCACAGAGGAAAAATAAAAAAAAATAACACAAATGAATTATATGGTTCGTTCAAAGACCTACATCCACAGTAAGACATCGAACATGTTTTATTATGAAATTATGTAAGATTACATAGCTCTGTTTTTCATATACATAGCAATGGTTCTCGATACACATCTTATATTTGATACAAATGGTGTGAAAATAAAACAATACACATCAAATTTGATATAAACTTTCTCATATATGTCGTGGAACCCAATTCCACCAGAAGCAGCTACCAAAGAAGCTCTAAAATATAAGCATTGTATCTCTTTATCTCTAAAATATTATGAAATGCAGAAAAATCTCTAAAAACATAAACCTTCTCATATAAGCATTATATCTCCTCTCATAGGAAATGCCAAAATATAATAACCGAAGCTCAAAAGATCAATACAACATACAAACATTGTATCTCCTCTCTAGCCTCGACATCAAAGGAAGCCCCTAAAACCCATCAACAATGATATATCAACTAACTAAAGAGTGGATTAGTACTTGCACATTCAAACAAATGCCTCCATAGCTGAACAACATTCAATATAACAGGTGCAGCTAAACAATTCCAGTTATAACAGGAGCAACATTCAATCAGGAGCACCTAAACCTCATAACTGAGCAACATTGCAATCAGGAACAATATAAAGAGCAACATTCAATCAGGAGCACCTAAACCCCATAACTGAGCAACATTGCAATCAGGAACAATATAACATGTGCAACTAAAAAATTCCAAAAGTTTGAATTAGCTGAGTTCCCACATTTCGAACAGTATAAAAGAGACGCATTGAAGCACATTCCAACTGTATAACATGGACACATTGAAGCACATTCATTAAAACACATTCATTGAAGAACATAAAACAAGGACGCATTGAAGCACATTCCAACAGTTAAACGATTCCAACAGTTCAAACAGTAAAGAACAATATAACAAGGACACATTCAAGCACATTCCAACAATTCAAACTAGCTGAGTTCCCACATTTCAGACTAAAGTTTTCATACAGGAACAGGGACGGGAAGAACAATATAACAGGTGCAGCTAAACACAGATCCAATACATTCAAGGGATTTGCTCATCTGTCATTCTTGCGATATTATACAAGAAAAAAAAATGCAGAAAAACCTCAGGGAAACCCTCAGATCCATTTCCATCTATGCATTCCCAAATAATCTAGCAAAGACATCCTCAAGAAAACCCTCATAAAAACTGAATCTTGCAAAAAAAGTAAAAACAATCGAATCAAGCCACACAAAACCAACCAGAGAAGATCGAGCCATAAAACCAACCAAAAAGCATAGCGGCATATAGATCTCACCAGAAGAATTGATGTTTATGAAGGAGAAGATCGGGAAAGAGGATGGCGAGGGAGAGCGCGAGAGAGATCACACAGGAGCATGGGAGGAATTCGAGACAAACATCGAACGCACAGGAAGCCCCGCGTGCAATCTGTAGAAGGAAATAAAATACACAATTTTTATCGTTTTTAAAACACGGGGCCGAACATCCTAACCAAACACCAATGCGGTGTTTTCAAAACGCCGCCGCACCAAAATAAGCTGCCTCAAACGGGCATTTATTCTTTAGGTTTTAAGGAATCTATATGTTGATCAAGTTGATCAAGTGGGTATGCTAATAAATCTTTTGACTTAGAGTGGTTCATTTGAGTGATACAGAGCGCCGTTGTCGTTTTGTTGTCAAGAGCGACCACAAGATCCATCGCTCATATTTGTTTCATCTTCGTCCATTCTCATCAAGGCTCATCAAGACAGTATCAAATATCATGAGATCAAAAAGTTTCGTAAGGTATAATCACTTTAGTTATTCCTTCTATGTTGAGGGTTTAGGATTTTGGCGCCATCCAAGAATTCTAGGTTCTAGAATTATCATGTTTATGTTTGTTTAATTTATATTTTTATACTCAATTTAAAAATAAAAATCATATTATCAAATATCAACAAATTGGCTAAGATTTTACTATAAATCAGATTAATTTTAAATTTATTAAATCTTTCTAAAGTATTAATTAAAAACTGAAATGTAGGTGCGTCTTCACATAATATTTTACGGGCATTAAAATATCGTAAGCTTATCACGCATGCGCCTAAGAAGAAAAGAAATAAACAACAATAACAACAACGACCACAATAAAAATGAAAAATGGATTTCTACTACTGATCAAGTTTATTTCTAATATCTCGCAATCTTATCTATAACCTAGGCTAGTTAGAGACGTTTATTTACTAAAAAAAACAAGTTAATCTGTGCACAAGAGAATATGAAATACAACGACAGAAAAAATTCATAGAAAAAAATTGCTAAAAATGAACTCCCTATTCATATTGTTGTGGTTAAAGCACTGAGGTGTTGTATGTATACCGCTGAGGCGCTATGTACGGAAAAATGTATTTATTGTTGTGGGCGTGAGCGCTGCCCCCCGATACTCCCTTAGCAAACTCACCGCCAAACTTGATTAACAAAATTATGGGCTTTTACTTGACCATTGTTGGACACAATCGAGCCCCACATAATAAAAAAAACAAAACTAATAAATCAAAAACATGTGTGATTGTATGTGGGAAGAAAATCTTTTTTATTATAGCCTCGTTGATAAGAGTAATATTTAATATTGAAGTATGTCTGTGAGTGATGTCTACATCTTACTAGCAAATAAGATAAGATCAAATAAGTAGACTACATAGAGAATAAAAGAATAGAAGAGTAAGAAAATTCTAGAGAGAAGCTTCAAGCATTTTGCTTCCTGTAGTAAGAGATATAAAATATTATACATTTCTCGTCTTAAGCTTTAATATAGGCATCTAGATGTGAAGATTTGGAGGAATTTTTTTTGGCTTGATAAATGGATTCACTGACTAGCTGATTATATTGATCGCTTGTTCGTCTGAGCTTGAATAGGCTTCTCTATGTTTTGGATGTGAGTTCATGAGGAGAGGATAAATAATCTAGCTATTTAGAGTGTCCCATTGGCCTGGGCGACTACCCCAAGACCTTGGATGAGTTATAATTGACCCTAGTTTGGTGTCCCTAGACCTTGGATGAGTGCCTTTGGACATGGCGAGTCCTTCTCATCCATTGCTTGAATGACACCATATATCTGACGTGCAATGATCTCTAATGGAATATGAAATCACCCAATTTGAGAGAAATGGCTGCTGCTGTATTAGAAAAATATATATGAATTAGAATATAATGAAGAAGAATATATGAAATCACCCAATTTTCTAATATATATGTATTAGAAAAATATAATGGAATATGAAATATCTAGTGGATCGAGTATGGCTGCTGCTGCTGTATTAGAAAAATATAAATGAATTCAATAGTTCTGCAAGTCTGTAATTTCTGAAATCTGGTCAGACCTTCATGTTTCTCCCTGATTCAGAGTCCTTTTGTTGACTTTTTCCTTTGACTTATTACACTAAAGTCCAGTTCTCTTAATTACAGAATTAATTTTTAAGATTCGTGAAGGATTGCTTTGACATTCATGGCTTCATCCACACCCAAATCATCTAATTTTGTTGATAATTTATTTGTTGCTCGGTTACAAAATGTTAAAAGTTGTCAGGCATTGCAAGAAGCTATGGAGTAATTGAAGAGCTGCCAATTGCAATGGAGTTATATTGAAAATCTATTTTAATTTTGTATTTATTTGTAATAATTTTGTGATAATTAAATATGTAGTTAAAGTTATGCTATATGCGGTTAATATCTGAGATCAATTCTCAGGTAATAATTAATGTGTGAATATTCCTAATGTTAAATTGAAGAAATTGCTTGGGGAAGTATGTAGACTTATGTAGAAAAGCAAATAGGTAATATATTTTGATGATTTCAGCATTATAATAATAATTATTATACATATTTATTGCTATTTTTTTATGCCGCATAGTCCCCTCTCGCAAGGGTTCGATCCCTACCGTGGTGCTTGGGGGTTCGAATTATAGACACATAGCGCGAGCTTTTATCATGGGGCTGGATTGTGCAGGGGAAATCGATATTTGGGTCTCTGCCAAATATCGATTTCCTTTTAAAAAAAATAAAAATAATATATATATATAACTTAAAAGTTATTATTCTCAAAAAAAGATTTGTATGGCTGACTACATATAAAGTATACACCATGCACATTCGAGAATTCCAAATATAAGCGTTCAGCACATGATTCCCCTCACAGCTCCCCTAAATTAAGTCATTTAAAAAACACTAAGTACGGACACTAATTAATTTCCAGCATTAACACTCATAAACATGTAATTATGATTAATCTATGGCTGCAACATGCTTTCCCACTTCATCAAATTATCCACCGCACCTCCAATTCGGCCAAGATTCTCATATGAACAAAGCTCATTTGAGTTGACTCGGCACATTTTCTACCCTTTCAAAATACAATTAACAATCTCGACTGAGCAAAACATTGAACCGGCCGGCGGCTCACATGAGCGTAACTCATCCAATAACTTCTCTGGAGTTAATCTTAATCATATAATTAATATAAACTTAGACTTTCATGCATTAATTACGTGGTTAAAGCAAGCCCAACGTGATTAACAAAATGCTCATGATTAATTAATATCACGATCATAATCACCATCATCACCATCTAATAACAAATCCTTCAACTCGTATGGAATTCGATGGCTTCTACCGGACAAGAAGAAGCTCTCATGAGTGGGATTAGAATTAATTAAGACATCCACCTCCACACTGAAGGTTGCACGCACGGGTCTGTGGTCGGAGTGCTTGGATTCACATCTATCATATCTAGTCTCATTTAATCCCCTACCATGCCAAAGTATGCGGTCGCACCTGCATATATATTAATTTATATTATTTTTAATTAAATGTTTAATTTAATTATGTATATGATTAGAAGTTATAGGAGACTGATGATGCATGGGAGGGAACTAACCATGCGGGTGCTCGTTTTTTCTTGCATTTTATGCCTTGGAGACTCCCATAATATTCATCAGAATTGGAGTGATATTTGTATGTGGGGGAGAAGTTGATGGCTCCTTCACGCCAGCCTTTGAATGCTCCATCCTCTATCTCAACTTTCAACTGCACATTTAAATTATTAATAGTGATATTTTTGATGTGATATATTAAATATTTGAGTCTTGTAAATATACAAATCTAAATTGATGTTGAGAGTTGATTTGGGGAGATGTTTAGTGGGCTTTTCTCTTATATTTTAGTGGACAAATTACAAAGATAATTTTTTTGGTTATTCGTTTTACATATTTCTAAGGCCCATATATGTATACACTTAATAGATATTGGTGTTTAAGCAAAAATTCAATTGAGAAGCTAGCATTCTCAGTAGAATAAGGTATGAATAAAGATGGAAAAAATACTACGTCTAGATACGTTGGTGTGCAGACGACAACATAGATTTGATTATGCAATTGTGCACCGTGGCCTAGTCAAATTCACGCTACCGTTCATCACATTCAGACTACACACATAATATTTTCTACAAAAGATGAAGCCAAATAAAAGGTAATAATCTTGGTTTTCTTTAATTACTAAATTTACTTTCTGATGTCCCCTTCTATCACAGGTCAGTGCATGTGATTTTTTTTTTGTAAATTTAAAATAATAGTGTCGCAGACGAATCCACAAATTCACGCCGTCGTCCGTACATTCAGACTAATCACATAATATTTTCTCACAAAAATGAACCTAAATGAAAGGTAATAATATTAATTGGTCTTCCTTAGTTAAGTTACTTTGTCATGCCCCCTTAATATATTTTAGTCCTTATGGATTATTATTTTGTTGTTATATCTAACATTACGATTTTAATTTTTATTAAAAATATCAATCATGTATTTCTATGTTTTGTTTCCAAAGAATAAAATAGCCTTTAACATTTTTAAGACAAAAGTTAAGAATATATGCAATAAAATAAAAAAAACACGCACGGGTCTGTGGTCGGAGTGCTTGGATTCACATCTATCATATCTAGTCTCATTTAATCCCCTACCATGCCAAAGTATGCGGTCGCACCTGCATATATATTAATTTATATTATTTTTAATTAAATGTTTAATTTAATTATGTATATGATTAGAAGTTATAGGAGACTGATGATGCATGGGAGGGAACTAACCATGCGGGTGCTCGTTTTTTCTTGCATTTTATGCCTTGGAGACTCCCATAATATTCATCAGAATTGGAGTGATATTTGTATGTGGGGGAGAAGTTGATGGCTCCTTCACGCCAGCCTTTGAATGCTCCATCCTCTATCTCAACTTTCAACTGCACATTTAAATTATTAATAGTGATATTTTTGATGTGATATATTAAATATTTGAGTCTTGTAAATATACAAATCTAAATTGATGTTGAGAGTTGATTTGGGGAGATGTTTAGTGGGCTTTTCTCTTATATTTTAGTGGACAAATTACAAAGATAATTTTTTGGTTATTCGTTTTACATATTTCTAAAGCCCATATATGTATACACTTAATAGATATTGGAGTTTAAGCAAAAATTCAATTGAGAAGCTAGCATTCTCAGTAGAATAATGTATGAATAAAGATGGAAAAAATACTACGTCTAGACACGTTGATGTGCAGACGACAACATAGATTTGACTACGCTATTGTGCACAATGGCCTAGTCAAATTCACGCTACTGTTCATCACATTCGGACTACACACATAATATTTTCTACAAAAGATGAAGCCAAATAAAAAGGAAATAATCTCGGATTTCTTTAATTACTAAATTTACTTTCTGATGTCCCCTTCTATCACAGGTCAGTGCATGTGATTTTTTTTTTGTAAATTTAAAATAATAGTGTCGCAGACGAATCCACAAATTCACGCCGTCGTCCGTACATTCAGACTAATCACATAATATTTTCTCACAAAAATGAACCTAAATGAAAGGTAATAATATTAATTGGTCTTCCTTAGTTAAGTTACTTTGTCATACCCCCTTTAATATAATTTAGTCCTTATGGATTATTATTTTGTTGTTATATCTAAAATTACGATTTTAATTTTTATTAAAAATATCAATAATATATTTCTATGTTTTGTTTCCAAAGAATAAAATAGCCTTTAACATTTTTAAGACAAAAGTTAAGAATATATGCAATAAAATAAAAAAAAAGAATTACATATATATACCTGATCATTCTCCAACAAAACGTTCCATTCCTTCTGCAATACCAAGTGCCGCGTCTCGTCCTCGGGCATGGAGATTCTATAGTTCAAGTCACCAAGCAAAATTACTCGCCTGTATTAACATTTAACTACTTATTAATTAGCAGTTTAATCACTTTGTTAAGCATGCAACTTGTTATTTTTAATTTCAGATTGCTGACATGTGAGAGAGATGTCAATGGTGTTTTATTGTAAGATAAGAGGCTACTAGCTCTGGTCAGTGTAATGGTTTTAGGTAAAATGACACGATTGATCCCATTAAAATCAGTTATTTGTCAGATTAGTTTATGTGCAAGTGGATTAATTGCAAGTGGATTAATTAAGTACTTATTTTCTGCAATTTAAATAAATTTTTTTTTCTGATGTCGATATAGAACATGATTTCATCTAAATTTGCAAGTAGTGATTTGTACGATTGTTGCTTCAAATGGATCTTAAAATAATAAACTATTATGTGGATTCAAATCGCTTAGGATATTTTAAGTTTTATGCATTGAATAGTGAAGATATTGGAATTAGTTAGTTAAAATTAGTGGGATATATATATATATATATATATATATATATATATATATGTATTTAATATATACTTAGCTAATATGTTAATATTATAATCATATCGAAACATATACATAAAAATATGTACGTCACGTTAAAAAGAATTAATATTATTCAAGTTTTTAATATGATATTAAGCATTTAGATGTTCTATAAATAAATAAACAAAGTTTAGGTGTAGGTAAATCATCTTTAAAATAAAGGTGATTTTGCACATAAAGTTTATTTTTTAAAGTTGTGAGTATGTCTCGTCGACAAAAATGTCGGGTGTATTAGATCTACTCTAATTAAATTTGTTTATAGTCCTACGAGAAAATATTACATTTGTCATCTGGACGCGATCAACCACACATCTGATTTAACAAATCTGGTTCACCAAATATAATATTTTCTCCAGTCTTATACAACGATTAAAAAAGAAATATAGATAGAGAGTGAGAGAGATTATAAATTTATCATCTATTTATATCTTATTCACTTCGTATTATTTTAATGTCTAAATCACATTAAAACATATGTATGAAAAGATATAGTTTATTTTAAATATGCCAATATTAATGATATTTTTGAAGTGTTTGAAAAATTTTAAATAATATATAAATAAATGTAAAGATTGAAATGCTGGATTTATACATACATACATACATACATACATATATATGTATAAGAATTATTTGACACACATGTAAATCAAGCTTGAAAATATATGACGAATCAGTTTATCTTCATTATTAGGTCATTGAGGAACTTCCATGACAGAGATTTCTAACAAAATAATAATTGCGACCTATTGTTTTTGTGGGTGACAATTGATTTTGAAAATTCTTATCACAATCTCAAGCTAATTAATTTTTGTATTAAATTTGTCCTTTAATTCTTATCATCAAGTCGAATTATTCATTACATAAACGTGCAAGAAAATATAATAATGTATTATAGTTTTGGGGGAGCCACGACAAAAAATACACAAAGTAAGTTGTTATGATTATTTTTCTAAGATTTACGTTTATAAATCTCTATCATGAATGCTATGAGACCATGCATTTATACAATGCATCGTCTAGATAAATCATCCCTCAAAAAAAGTTTTTTTTAAATCATTGAATTTACTTTAAAATAAATGCAATATATATTTTGATTGATTTCTCATTTTATTCTGATGTACTAAAAAAATCCTCCATTTTTGTTGGAGTTTGAAGTTTGGCTTTGAAAACCAAAAATAAAGAGAAAGAAAAAGAAATCAATTATGATTTCTCTTGTATTTAATCCATCTGCTTGAAGCTTAAGATTCGTAATTAGGTGAAATAATCCCATCATTAAATAACTCACTGATGGTCATTTATCTTTCTTGGCAAATGAAGAGCCGGCCCTGAGGGGAATATAGTTCTGGAGAATATCTCCATGGCGTTCGAACTCCTATGCATCCCATCCCCCTGTCTTTCTCCCGAAGCCAAATGGCAGCACACCACGCAGAAGCTTGTTTCATGCAGTAAGAACCTAACCGAAACTGACCCCTGCATGCAAAACAATTGTAATTTTGTCTAAACATTTTATATAATTGATGTCACTATAGAATTACTTAACAAACCAAATAGTTATATTGTATTGATAGAATAATTTACCTTATTCCCGAGGCAGCCCATGATTCCGCAGCCTACGCAGGAGACGCTTGGATGATGAATGAATGGCAGAAGCCATTTTCTGAGCCATACAGAAACCAATATCCCCACCATCTGTTTGCTTATAATACAGCCAAACGTATTAGCACCTTTGCCTTCCTTTGACTTTGACACGGATATCCTGTTCAGTGTTTTTCTGATTAATGAGCTCCACTTCATCGAAATCCTGCTTTTCTCTGACCCTAATATGTTCCTGGCGCTTAGAGGAACCACCTCCTGAAATCTGCAACAATCAAAATTTGGCTCAGTGATTTTTAGTGTTTATTGATAAATACACATAGTTCAAATTATTACCCAATAACGTAGATGTCGTAGGAATTGTTCTTTGTGTCCAGCCAATCCTCCAAGTTAAGATCATCGCTTGGAGGGATGCCACCAACGTTCCATGTGCTCGCAAATAATCTAATTTAAATTCATACATGATTCAACAATTATTAGCTTTTTTCTAGGATATATTATTATTGAATGAATTCACCTGAACTTGTGAGTTTGCTTTTCTTCAGCAAATCCAATTTTGGAGCTGATCAATTCGTCCGGACTCAAACTTAGCGGATCACTTGGGCTAGGGAAGTCGCCAACAAAGGAGTTGCTGAACAATGGCCTTCGAAGCAGCTTATTGGCCACCAATCTTGGCCACATGATCTATCAAACATACACGCATGATTACTTGTTAATCAATCCATGGCTACAGAGAGAAAGATTAGCCGTAGATGGACACAGAGAGAGATAGAGAGATCAGAGAGATGTACCTCTCCTTTGAATTGGCTTTCCGTCATGTATTTTAGTTTTGGTGGCGGCCGGACTGGTGGGTTAAGAGGAGCTTGTGCATTGCAAGAGTACTACATATATAATGGAGGCTAGTTTATTAATTAAAGCCGAGTAAATTTCATGTTTGTCGTACTATTTCTGCTTATCGGTTTCTTGCGTGGGAGCAGAGGCACAGTTTTGCTCAATGGGATATTTACATGCATACCATACAATTTTTTTGTATTTACATATTTGAAATACAAGCATTTATATTTAGATGTGCATATCACCCAAATTTTTAATACCATATCAAAAATATCATCTAATTTTAAAAAAAAATAAAAAACGCATTTTCATGCATAGAACCAAAGTTTTATAAGTTTAAATATTAAATTTTAATTGTGTGGTATTTATGTAAATTTCCCAATTTTAATTTACATTCATGAAACGACTTACCGACCTATGATTTGGTGGTTCATATGCGCGGACTTATTTTATAGTCATGATGAATTCGAGCACTTATCTTCCCACTAAACTATATATTAATTCTTTATAGTAAAATCAATTAATTTTTTTCAATTTTCTGTTAATTTTAAGTCTTATCATTTTAATATATAATTTATGAGAATATATTTTTTTATTTTTTTATTTTAAAAAAAATTAAATAATGCAGGATATGTCATGATGGCTTAGCTCCTTGTTGACCAACCTACTACGCCATTCATAAAAAATGTCCACTTGAAGAATATAATTGAGAGAACTGGACCATATGTGTGTACGCCAGCCAATATAAATGCACGAATATTCTTTGTTGGTACATATATAAGATAAAATTTGTTATTTAACGTTCTTAACTGCAATTGAATTAGTTTACCGCTAAGTTTATTAGTTTAATATGCATAATGCTGCGTCCTGAGTTTATTATAAAGAAGTTGAATCATCTTAATATTTAATTAGAATTTTTCTCACACACAATGGATAAGAACGGATAGATATAGAAATCTTAAGTTTAATATGCATAATGCTGCGTCCTGAGTTTATTAAAAAGAAGTTGAATCATCTTAATATTTAATTAGAGTTTTTCTCACATACAATGGATAAGAACGGATAGATATAGAAATCTTAAATAGATTTTAGGAATCGTTATTTTCTCAGTAAGTTTAGAAAACTTTCACTGAAATATGGGCGGTCAACATAAAGTTATACGTTGTCCATGTTCCGCCTGTCCGGACATCCAATCATGAGAGTCCACATCGGCACAACAATGACATGATCTCCAATGGCTAAACATCAAAACGTATTATTTTCTCCATCAAAAAACATCGTAACATGTTAATAGATTGGTGCATGCTATTATGAATACATCCTGAAAGATGAAAGTTGTTGTCCACACCATATAAACTCTTCCATAAGCATGTGTATTTATATGGAAACCAAATTAATAGTTTAATTAGACTAATGATTATCACTTATATCTTCTATTTGAGCTCTCATGACAATCTTTGTGTTACTGATTATGGTTGAATTCAACTGCATGGGTGAATTTATTATAGGGTCACTATAGGCATTTGTTTCTATTGGCTTGGGTTAGCCACTGAGTTACTTCATCAGATGATCAGACTCTTTCTTAATCTTTTTTATTCCATGATTTGAATATTTAAGAAAAGATAAAATAAATGCAAACTCATTGAGAAAAAAAAATATTAATACAAATATATATATATATATATATATATATATATATATATATATATATATACACACACACATACATACATACATACAAAAAAATACATAAGTATGTAGGTTTTCATCTTTTTATTAACATTATTTTGCAAATTTCATTATAATTTATATTCTGTAGAGTATTAGAGCTTTAGATTTCATAATTTACATAAACCCCTCTCCTCTCTTTAAAGAAAAAATTAGGGGTGGCCCAAAAAACAATAAAATTTTGCCAAATTGCTCGTAGTAAAGTACCTTTGAGAGATCTACACTTGAAGCCCTGAGAGGAGGGCTTCTTGTAGGATATAGTGACCCTTTTTTTGGTATTATTAAAGCCCGAAGGCAATATTATATAATGTCAAAAATAGTTGAATAAAAGAAAAAGATTTGAGGCTTTTCTATATGGTATACAATGCACACCAAAGCCTAAAAAAAAAGATACATGTATACCAAAAAAGACAAATAAAGTCAGAGATCCTATGAAGAAGAAAATGCATAAAAACATAGAAAAAGAAGACCCAACAGTCTTTTTGTCCAGTAGTTTAAAGCTTCAGCTCAGCAAGGAATAACATCACCACAGGATACTAACACCAGACATTATGTAAGTAAACTCTCTAAAAACACCATCAAAATGCAAGAAGTCCATCAAAATATAAGAAACAATGGTGAATACCACCACCAAAATGTGGGATACCGTCATGAATAACATCACAAAAATACAGAAATAACATTATACCACCAGACGGCATACAGAGAGGTCGGTAAGTAAACCCATCAATAACATCACAAACATATTGGATATAAACGTGAATAACACCAGGAAAAGTAGGATACAACCGTCAATAACACCACCAAATAGTATGCAGAGAGCCCGGGAAGCAAACTTATCAATAACATTACCAGATAATATGCAGAGAGACATGAGACAACCTCAAATGTCACCACCAAAATGCAGAGTAGAGCCGTCAAAAACACCATCAAAACACATGATACATCCATCAATAACGCCAACAAATAGAATCCACAGGGCTCAAGAAGCAAACTGGTCAATAACACCATAAAAAGACATGATACAACCGTGAATAACACCACTGAAATGCGAGGTCGAGCCATTAGTAACACCACCAAAACACGTAAATACACCGCCATACAGTAAGTATAGAGCCCCCAATAACACCACCGAATCCAGTAGTCTCCATGAAACCCCAAAGAATGATATAATTTCTTGTAACAGAGAAACCAAACACAGTGACAGGAAGAAGAATGACTATAGTAATAATACAGTAGCAAACCAAATGAATGCAGCAGAGAAAAGTATTCCAGGTTCCCAACTAAATAGTGGCGCTCGATAAGAAAGTGGTGAGATTGAGAAGATGAGACAGCAACATAGACTAAGCAAAGCTAGAGAAGAAAACTTGGAGGAGTATAAATTTTTTCCAAGAATATCATTTGTAAGACCAAAAGGATAATAAAGTAGTAGAAAAGAGCACAACCAACAAAACCGAAAGAAGGGATTTTAGCCTCTAATGTAAGGGTCCAGAAGATATCCATACAGTAATAATTTCAGCCCTCGAGGAGGATGTACTCTAATTTCCACACCCAAATGGCCCCTCCTTGTCAACCAGTCAGCTTTTGAGTTCACATATCTATAAATAAAACTTCAATTGATGTTAAGCATATGTAAATCAATAATATTCCAAATCATGTTTAAACAAGATATTAAGTTCCAATTAAGCTTATTTTTCTTAGTATATACTCTATGATAAGTGCAGAATCTGTTTCAGTTCAACTACCATCTACATTAACCTTTACCCAACCACAAGAAGGGGGATGCCAATGTATCAATGTAGGCCTCCAACCCTCCCTAGGATGAGCTAAGGGAGTAGTAGCAGTAATGCATAAACAAGCTATAGAGAAAAGAGCAAAAATATAAGCCACATTCACATTAGGGTAGGGAGGTGACACCGCATATTTGGTGTTATTTTTTGCAGGCCAAATAAACACAAATACCATAAGACAAAAAAAAAAACCCAACTTTTTATCATTGAAAATACTAGTCTTCCAAGCCAAAATTAAATCTTCCACACATCTCCATGAGCTAGCAGGTACACCAAAGTGCCTCCTAATTGGGACCACACTTCCCGAGAAAAAGTACATTGAAAAAATAAATGAAATTCATTTTCTAAGCCCTTTTACACAGTGGGCATTGGGAGGTCAACCTCAATCCCTTTAATTTTAAAATATCATCAAAGAGCAACAACTTGTGGAAATTTCACCATAGAAAAAAAGGAACCAAATGGGGATAAAAAGGCATCCCAAATCATAGTGCCCCACTTCCAATTATTAAAGCTATGGAGATTCAAGTACAACATTTGAGCAAGAAAAGTGCAGTTTTTAATTTTTCACATAGGGGAATCCTTCTTATTCACATTTATTGGGATTTTGGAGATCACCTTAGCTTTATCACCAACAAATTCATTTAACCTGCGTATATTTTGTTGCCCTTCTAGCCAAAAATTGGAAATCATCAAATTATCAGAAAGCAAAGAGTGGGAGTGATCGCCTAAGCCATCCACCCCCAATAATCATGTCAATATCTAAATAAATGAATTTATTTGCATTTAATCTAGCCTTTAGACCCAATAAATGAATTTAATTGCATTTATTCTAGCCTTTAGAATATCTTTCCAGATTTTGGAATCACCAATCTTCCAACACACTAAAGCAACATGAGTGGAAGTGCAGTATTTCAGATGAAGAAGTTTAGCCCAAAGTGATTCCTCAGCTCTGAATTTAAACCAATGTTTGAACATGTTAATTTCAACAATGCTATTAAGGCTCTTAAAACCAAGGCCATACCTTCACTTACAAACTTTATCCCAAGAAGCCTAGATCTTTTTGTTGCCACCACCCACCCAAAGGAACTTGTTAAAAGTCCTCTCCATTGCAGCTATATTGACTTTACTAAAATAGTTTACTGTCAACAAACTGAGGATCAAGAAAACATTACATCTTGTAAACACAGAAGTACGAGCGTGCGTGTAGTGCGGTCCACACTGTCATCCACACATCCGTCAGCTAAACTTAATATTTTGGTCAAATTATGAAGAGGAGTGTCTAAATTTTTGGAATTAGGATAAGAAGCAAAAAAAAAAAAAAAAGGAGCACATTTGCCCCCTTGGGGGGCACATATATTTTGCATATGCGTCCCCATAGGGGGCCTTTATGCCTTTATTTTTTATAAATTAAGTTAAATTATATTATAATACTATTACTATAATTATTACTATAAATATTATTATAAATATTATTATTATTTATAATATACTATTACTATAAATATTATTATTAATATTATTATAAATATTATTATTATTTATAATATACATTAACAAAAATATTAAAAATTAACTAATCAAAAGAAATACAAGAGAACAAATTAAATTAACTAAAAAATTGTAAAATTAGTA